ATGCACAATGTCTGTCCACTTTTCTACAGGATAAGGGACATTCTCTTTTATATGTGCAGCTGTTGTGGAGTCTTCATCTCCGACAAAAACAGATAGTTTGACTCTAGAATTTAGGCTTTCAGTAAACAAATGGACTGCTGCCATAGGCTCCATTGCCTTTGATGATGCTGTATGATTGAGTCGACAATTGTGTTGCTTCGCTTCTTTTCCAGTTTTTCTAGTATTTGTGCAAACCCTGCAGGATTTTGTTCTCGTAGTATAATCCATAACCTTCCCATAAGTTAAACCCATCACTGCAGCTTGACCAGTTGACGAGTTATGCCCCTTTCCTCGTTTTTGCCAACCCATGTCATATGAGCAGGGGATATTGATGCAGCCTTGGTCATCTGCTTTTGCACCTTTTTTGATAGCAGCATTTCTTTCTTCTGACATTGCAGTTTTGCAACTTTTTTTCGCTACTTGCTCTACTGCATGCCCAATTTTATTTTCTCTACTCTTGAAAGTTACCGGGTTCACAGAGGGAATATTTAATGTACACAGTAAATTATTTAGGTGGGTTTCACCGATTCCTGTGTGTAGACACCCAAGAACAGTTCTTGAATTAACATCATGACTGAGAGGACCTCTTTGACCACTCCTGTGTTCACTGGAGGTCTTGACAACATTCTTTCTACCACACGCTGCACAGGTAACTGAGAACACTGAGGCTAACCCATATTTTTTTTCTTCTGTTGTGTTCCACAGTGACAAATTGGCTGAAAGTGACAATATTGATACTCAAGAAAATTTTACACTTAATTCTGGCAGTTTGTCTTCTCTTTTGAAATAAATGAGCAAAGGTAAATTTTTTTGCAAAATTAACAAAATTTTACAAAAGCAGTAAATGCTACTTGTGGTTTGTGGAAAATTTACAATGCTTGTTTGTTCCAAATTTGCCAAAAAACAATTTTTGTTGCTATCAATAGAAATACAATTGTGTGACACTTGGTATACGGTAAGAACTTGCCCAAAAATTTATTGCTTATGAGAAGTTTTGTAATGTTTTGAAGATGTACATGTTTAATTAATCACATAACTGTTTCTTGGAAACCTGTTCATTTTATAGCCTCAAAGTTATGTGTACATGTACTTACCATAAAACTGAGAATTCATTTTGACTTTTCTTTAGTTGTGATTTTCTTTGGGCAGATAAAAATTGTTTCTTCTTACCTGCTTTACAGTGCTAACAACATTTTAATGAACTTCTCAAAACATCTAAGTCCATAATTCTACTTCCATGTGGAATGCAATTTTCCTTCTTTGTTTGTTTCTGATTAAAATTCAATATTTGTACGTGTTAATGGTAATTGTATTATTAGGTTGTAACTGTAACCAAACATTTGTTGGAATTTTAAAATGAAATGTCAAAATGTTTAGGTGTAATCATATTGACGAAACAGCTTGCTATGAACTATTTGTGGTATAATACAAAAATTCTATTGGAAAATTCATTACTTGATGAGGGAATTCCGCATTAAATTGCATGCAAAAACGGATATCAAGTACAATTTAAGGCGGAATTCACGAGTGAAGTAATGGATTTTTGCAATTCTGTGCTAAATACCTCGCTTCGTTAACCAATCAGAATGCAATGTCAATCAGAAAGTCAATGATGCGATTCAAATTGAGAACAATTTTTAGAGCAAAGAAAGACTTAAGGAAGCACTTTTCTAAAAACTTTTAGGTGAATTGCTAGGTGCCACACATAGTGAAAACAAAATTTAAACTACACCTGACTTAAACGGGTTTCTCTTTTTTTCGGTGGCGACCAATCTTCTACCATCCCATTAAAATCTAATTTCCTCTTTGCCCTCCACTCCTTTATCCCACGAGTCCTGTCCTCCTCGTTTCCACTTCGAGTGGGTTTCTTATGTGAAAACCGACCCTTTTCGTCACGCATTGGTGGTTGTTTTTCCTGTGTCAGTTGCACCTCTGCAGACACTCCAGCCGTTTTCAGTGTATCATCGCCCATGGAGCTCAAAGCGAAGCCTCCAACCATAAAAAGTGCACCGTGACCACTCTGCGACTTCCTTCGCGTTCAATCACGAGCGTCTACCCTCTGATATCGGCGCAATAAATGCTGCGAATTTACTCCTCAGTTTAACCACGTCAAGAGAAGACGAAAGAAGTGTATCTTCAAGCACTTTTTTAGGAGTTTGTAAGTGGAACGCGACTCGCGATAAAAGTCTCGCCGCCATGTTTATTTTTGTTTTTCTTTTAAATACTCGCGCGCTCGCGGCATTCGTACCCATGCTTCGCGCGCCGAAAAACTATATAGAGCCACCTTAAGCCCATAGTTGGCCAAAACCAGGGGCTAGTCTTGCTACATTTAGCCTGTTACTTTATCGTATCATTTAACCATGACCATGATATTTTTTTTTTAAAAATATTGTACAGTTTTTCAAAATGCCATTAAAGAAATTTGTTCACCATCTTATTGCCAGTGTTGCATGTTATCCAATATTAACATCCCTGTACTTGGGCAAGACTGCTGACTAAGGGATTTTATTCTTCAGCTAAGTCTTACATTGTGTCTGGTTGCAGGAGATTGGTATTCCCCTTGGACGATGTATTCCAATCATGAAATCATGGAGGAAACGTTATTCCAGTCAAGGTGAATAAAATCAGGATAGATTTGAATTGATTGTGACACACTAAGTTACTAAACCTTTAACAAAAACAGCAAGCTTAGTTTCACTATCCAGTGCTCGTAAAAGGTATTCTTTTATCTGAGGGAGAGTGTGAGGGGGGACCACACACTGCATAGAAAGCCGAGTGGGTTAACACTTTCACTTTTAGAAGTGATTAATAAGCCACTTACAATAAGGGAACTTTTTCATTTAGTGACATAAAGAGGAAAACAAAAGAAGAAGAAAGAAAAATACCTTTAAGAGCCAGTGAGAACAAACTGCCTGAAGCGCGGGAAAATGCAGACAACCCAATCATGAGGGGACATTCTTGAAATTTCTCTATCAATACATGTGCATTGTCAATTTTCAGAAAAAATATATAAATATTATTACTCACTCTGAATCATGATACCTTCTGTCTTTTTAGAAACAGTTAGAAGCAAAGATAAGGTTTCAACAGCTGAGAATTACTCACAGACCTCCATAGTTACCATGGACGCAAGTATACAAACTGAAGATATATTAATTAGTGCTGCTGATTATAACAAAATTCTTAACAGTGAGCTTAACACTCAACTGGCAGAGCTTAACAATCAACAAGAGCTTCTTAATCATTATGCTGCTCTGGCTAGTGGCGAGTTTAATTTAAAACTGACGGAGGCGCAAAGTGGAACCTTCACCTCTGGGCAGGTCCCTTCCTCATATGGTACACAGTCCTTGGACCCTTATACTGCTCAGCTCTGGTCCAATTTAAATCAGTACCAAGATCAATATAATATGTGTGGAGGCTTCTTGCAGGGAAGCACGGCTAATGTCGCAGGAGGAGTTATCCCGGACAGTAATGGGGGTGAGGCGTCCTCGGTTAGATATAATCAAAATATGAGTGATGTCAATCATGTGATGGTACCATCTCCACCTTCTCCGGTACCTTCTCAAGATATGGGGCAGTATCAGAGAGTGACAGCCAATGTCTCTAATCGTAAGGACGTTGTTGATGAGAGAGAAGACCAGGCTATTGAACAGTCGTTAAAAGACTTTGAAACAATGGAAATGGAGTCTCAACATTCGTATGCCTCAGCTGTTAATTCCGGTGAGTGACCCAAAGCCAGAGATCACGGTAAACTCAGACATGGGGCCCATTTCTCGAAAGTCCCGTGACTTAACGGGCCCGTTTTCATTCAAGATGGGGATTTCAAAAGTTTTGAAAATGATGCAATAAAACTATCTGGTCTCGCACACGATAGCCTGTAGAGCAGGCGCTTTAAAAGAGCGAGTTAGCGTTACAAACTCCCGATTGCTTATCCGGCCGGCCTTGTTTAATTTAGAGATAGAGTGGACGGTGGGGCGGGGGTAAGGAAAGGCGAGAGGATTTATTTGTTTTTTACAGTAATTTTATTTCCCCACCTCCTTCCGTCTCGTTCTTTTGACTGTCACTCACACCCTAGGTACAAATATCTTTCTCTCCCAACCTGCTGCTGTAAAAATTAAAGATGGTAGCTGTGATCTTCATCAAGAAAAACAACTAAGCACTCGCTAATCACAATCACGCTTGCTCTACAGGCTACGTATACATGAAGTCGAATAATGTAAACTCACAACCATGTTCATATTATCTTATCTTGTATCTAGTGTTACCACCATAACGTTTTTCCTAACATAGCAGTACACACTCGTCATTCTAATCGTATTATCAAAACAGTTGTCAGACGTAAATTATACTCAATGTCTTTACAGAGACAGCAGACCTTAGTCAAGACAGTCAGCACAGTTATGGTTCCAACACGGAGCAGCACTCCTCTTATTATATGCAGTCAAGTCAGAGAATGCCTTTACCCTATACCAGTCGTTCTTCAGTTCGTTCAACCCAAACCACATCAAGGCCAGTGCCGTCTGAAAAATCCGACTCCAGCCGCTTTGCCAAATGCGATGATATATCTCTGGATAGCGGAACAACAAGGCTCCCATCAAGTATACAGAGTGTTGGGCCACAAACCCTGCAGGGATATTTAGATAGTTTGCCAGAATCGAACGAATACAAGGAAGCTATGAAGAGCAAAAACCCCAAAAAGGGATGGAAACCAATTGACGGGAAACACATTCAGTCTGGGAAAAAGGTGGCATTCAAACCAGTATACTGGGATAAAGAAGGGCGCATGCGCCATGGGGTAGCTGTCAGGGGATCGGATAAATCCGAGGAGTGCTGGCGCCATGTAGAGGGGAAGGCTCCAGCTGGCTGTACATTTGCACACTCTCGTCTGGGTGATACCCTGCAGTTTGTTTGCGTCAAGTGCTCTTATGAGAGGAACCCTTATGACTGGTGCTCAGACAAGACGAAACATAAACAATATATATTTAATCTTGGTCCGTATCGTAACTTAGAGGGTGGAGTATGGAAGAAAATTTCTTGAAATAACACTTTGTGGTGAAGCTTGCTTTACAACTGTTCAGGTGAATTGTATCAGTAGTCAGTGGTCTGCGTTAGAGCAGTATTCATTTGAGTGTCGAAAAATCAGGACCAAAGTAACCCCAGCGACCAATCAAAAGAAAGGTTTACATTATTATTAGCTAATGAGAACTCAGAACGAAACCTAACAAACTCCTTGAAGGCGGGAAAACGCGTATGACCAAATCGTTATTGTTTTTAGTTTTGCATCTGATTGGTTAATAAGAGGATGGTGTGAGTTTTCTGAACCAATCACAGAGCAAAGTTAAGCGAAATCTCGGATTACTTTAGACGCTCATTTGGAAATTGACCTTTTTTAGCTATGAGCGAGTTATTATATTTTGATTTTTTTCAGCATGTGATAAAAGGTTGTAGGAAGCATGATGGCTGATGTGGCACATATGTGCAAGGATTTTGGGCTTTTGTTATGAGGTTAATTTTTTGTGTGGTGGTTAACTTGTCAATCTGAGCACAGCACTAAAAGAAGGGTGATGGTAAAAAGAAGGGAAAGAAAGGCCACGTTGATAAACAGAAAATAGAAACTGCACAAGACATTGAAATTAATGTTCTTTACACAAGTTACGACCACTTCCGGTGTTTTCTGTGGGTAAAAGGGAATTTTGAAGACAGACACCCACATACTGTGTATAAAACAGAGTAGCTTCTACATTCATGTTTAGGTACTAATAATTTTATTCCTTCCAATTTTTTTTTTTTTTTTATGGTTGTGGTTAGTCTTCCTAGTCGTCTCGCCATGCTTATAATATAATTTGTCATTCGAGAACGACGCCAAAAAGGCCTATTTTCGCACGCACGAAGTAATTAGGTTGGTGTATTGAGAAAGAAGTCTCGTGACGGTGGTATACGCAGGTTAAGTGTTGGTATTAATTTACTGTTTGTTGCGGTGAGGATTTGGAGAGGTGCTCCTCCATCTTTTGAGTACTTCTTAAGATGTTGGTTGTTTTTAAACGAGAATGAAACCGAAAATATAAATTTTCCAAGGCTAAATGAGCCCGAAAGAGATGGTAATAGGGCAATAGGAAAAAGATAAAGGGTTGAGTATTTATAAGGACTGTGTAAGAGATAAAAGTTGGAGTATCTTTTGGGATTGCAAGTGTCAAACAGACGATAACCAAATCGGTATTCGGAGCTCAAAGCCCAGATCACGTTCTATGTTTTAGTATTATTATTATTCTGTCAGTGTTCAATTTTATTACTGTGCCCTTTTACTTTATTGATCATTCCATGGAACTTATCTTTTTACAATTGTTGTGGTGTTGCACTGTGTCTGAGATTCGGATTTCAATTTTTAGAAACCTGGAAAACATTTCATTTGGTTGCACTTACAGCCACGTGCAACAATTCTACTACTAACTGATTTTATAACACGAAATTTAAAGCGACTGGTTCTTTTCAGGGAGTGTATTATTACTTAGGATAGCAACGTACTTAGATGAGTTTCCCTGTATGGTGTGGACCTCTAAAATCGCCTAAAACACACGATTTCCTTGTTAAACGGGATCGCAGTGCAAGACCACAGTGTAATACGCTGATTCTTGGAAATAAACATTTTTCATTCTTGACACCCGTTACATTTTACCTCTTTTCTATGATGTTCAATACCTAGTCATCAAAATACTACGTCGTGTCCTATTGTTGTTAGGAACCTTAAGCAAGCCACGACGGCGACGGCAACGAGGACGTCCCAAAGCAAAAGATCCAATGGGTAGCTGAACAATAGTTCAGCACGTGCGTCTTCTGCAAAACAACAACGTGAAATTACCAAAACTGGCGTCGTCTGCAAATGGAAACCGTGGCGGTTAATTTCTATTTGGAACTTAAAGCTGCCTATGTATGTTATGCTGAAGTTGAGGTGTGGCGCCATAAGAGACGGTAAACACATGCAGCCATTTTTCGAAATTCTAACTAAAGACAAAAATTCATTTTTTAATCGACGTCTTCCTTAGCGTTGCCGTCCTGTGGCTACTTTAATGAAACTACAATTCAACACTGGGAAACCCCAAGTAGCTTTGGTAACGAGTAGAATACTTGGCTGTTTGCTAACTTACTGTTTGTAACTTACTGTTTGCTAAACAGAAAAAAAATTTTAAAGTGTCCGGATGAGATACAGTTCATTTTAAGGACGGATATCTGGGCAAAGCATAAATAAATAATGACTTTATTGAATTACCCAATTACTGGTAGAAGAAGTAGTTCTCATTGTGGTCCATGCAAATAACTGAAATACTGAACATAACATTATTAAGAATCCCACCAGGCCGAAGGCAAACCAATTGGCTATTTACAAGTATGGTCAAGGACTTGAACTCGGAGCTACCGTGAAACAAATCCAGGAAGTGGTCAGGGCGGGACTCGAACCCGGGAGCGGCGGATTGCGAATCCGACACGCTGACCACTCGGCCGCACTGCCTCCTGAAGGATGGACTACGCAAAGTGCTTGGAAAGTGAAATACAACAGTCATGTGGAGATGTTATCTTCTTTTGCTGTGAATAGAGCAATTTTCCATGGAGATGTCCATATCACTGAGTATAGGACAGAGTTTTGCGAAGAAGGGAAATATTCCGTGGCCTCGTTCATGGCGTTCTTTATCAGTTGTGTTCTAGTATTTGGTTTCGTGACGAATCGTGCGATAAAATTGAACCGGAAATTAAAGAGGTATTTGTTTGTCCTGTTTACTTTTCTATCCTTTTCTCTGGGTTAAAGTTTTTCATTCAAACGGTTATGTTTTCTGATTGACTCAGGAGGGTGCCCTAATTGTTAGCCTGCTGCATGATGTCTTTATGATCGCTACATGAGGTCTGGGTTCGAGACCTGACCGATCGAGTTATTACGTTGTTTTCTCGGGCAAGACGCGGTTTTTTTTTCTCCACCCAGTAGTTGTACCGTTGCACTTATGTCCTCTTATTATAGATATGTCCTTTGACGTAATGCGATATAGTGTAAGTAAGTAAGTAAGTAAGAACTTTATTTAAGTGTCAATAACTCTAGCATAAGAAATACCCTAATGGGGGACACCTAACTAGTTGTAAATATTGTGTTAAAAAAAAGAAAATCTTAATAATTGAGTCTTAAGTTGTCAATTATTACATAAAAAACAGTTTCTACAGGTTCTGTCGGGCAGACTTGTGAATTTGAACAGTTTGATACGCTTTTTGAAGATGCCCAAAGATTCAGACGATCGAATATATGCATCTAATTTGGACCATATAACAGGGCCTAAGTAGTAGGTAAGGCTGTGTTTTCCATGAGCAACAGTCTGAAATCTAGGAATGACGAAGTCATGATTTCTAAGAAAATAATGAGAGTTGGCAACGACGAATAAGTCCGCGATATAGGGAGGTGCCAGGCTGTTTTTTACTTTGTACATTTAAATCGCAATGGCCTGTAGCCGCCGGCCGCGTGTAGAGTCGTTGTTGGTAATTTTGCTCCGTTTCTTAGAGTTCCTCGTAAGTCGATCTGGTGTCACAGTACAAGGCGCGTAGTGCTCGTTCTTGTAGGTAATTTCGCTCCGTTTCTAAGAGTTCCTCGTAAGTCGATCTGGTGTCACAGTACACGGTGCGTAGTGCTCGTTCTTGTATTCGTTCTCATTTCCTGGCATCAGAAGAAAGGTAAAAATGCCAGACAGTTTGACAACATGAAAGACAGGGTATCACAGCAAATTTAACAATTTGCAATTTAGCAGATGTAGGAATGAGGTTGCGTAATCTTAGAAGGATGCCAGTTGGAGAGGAGGCTTTTCTACAAACTTTGCTTATATGGCTCGAGAAAGATACTTGATCGTCCAGAGTAACCCCTAAGAGTCTTATCTCTGATTTTTGTTCAATTTCAGTGTCGTTAATTGCGATGTTTAAATCCTTGAGCCAGTTTCTCGGGCCCAGACTCATCACTTGATACTTAGAAAAATTTCCCGGTAAAAGATTATTATTGTACCATTCAGAGATGTTGTTTCCCTGTTCAGTTAAAGAAATTTCAGCTTCGTTGGCTGTCTTCGCCACAGAGAACAATTGGTGGTCATCCGCATACATAAATAGTCTATTTTCGTCAATGGAGAGGTGTAGCTAGGTCGTTTAGAAAGACGTTCCAGAGAAGAGCCCCGAAGGCTGGTCCCAGGGGACAACCTCTCGTGGTCGCCTACCAGTCGCTTGTTGTTTCATGATCGATCCTAACTCTGTTTTCCCTATTTGTAAAATATGATCGCATCAAGGTTAGTGAGTTGTCAGAGAAACCGTATGCTCCCAATTTGTTGATCAGTAGGGGGTGGTATAGCGAATCGAAAGCCTTTGACATATCTTCGGATAAGACGGTTTCCATCTTTCTACCAATCCAATGAGAGACGTTTAACAGTTTTGATTCGTTCGATATGCAGTTAGGTTATTGCCTAACATAGGGTCAATAAATGATGTCAGCTGTTTGCTCAGTAACTGTTCAAACACCTTTCCTATCACTATTAATACTGTGATGGGTTTGTAGTTCTTGATGTCCTGTTTAATTTGCTGCCTTTCTTTAACACTGGTACCCAGTCTCCTTTTTTCCATTGTAGTGGCCAATCACAGGATTCAATGTAGTGGTTGTATAGATCGGCCAAAGGATGAGAAAGCTCCCTGTTAACTATCTTTAATATCTTAGGTGGAATCAAGTCGTAACCTGTACTCTTTGTAGAATCCAAGTTAGATAACGCAGCCACAATCTCATTCGGTTCAAGCAAACGGAAATTAAATTGTGAGCAGTCACCAGAGGATCGACGATTGTAGCTTTGCATAATCCTTTGCACGCTCTCATGGCAATACAGTTGGTCCTCAGACAGGCCTAAAAGACGACTATCACCAATGTCATTAGCTACTGAAGAAAAATGTTTGGCAAAGTGTTCCGCGATATTACGCTGATCTCGTTCAATGACACCTTCGATGTCAAGGTTAAATAGAACGTTTTCACACTTCTTCGACTTTGAGCGAAGAAAGGGCTTAAAACCACTGTAAAGGTTCTTGGTGTTTGTTTTCAGATCGTCAGCTGTTTTGCTCCAATACTCTTTGATCGCTTTTCTGCGAAGCCTTGTAGCCTTATTCCTCCACATTTTCATTAGTTCTCCGTTCTCCTCAGTAGGGTTTTTTGCATATCGTTTCGCATTCCCGTTCCTCTTTTTTCTAATTAGCCAATCACATATTGAGATTTATCGAGCGACACGCGGCTTGGGACTGGTTTAGTGACTCCGTTGTGGTTATGTCTTCAAGCAGAAGTACTCATTCAAGGGGGTTGGGATAAGTAGAAAATTTGACCAGTATTTTCCGGTAACAACGCATGAGCAACCTCCAACTGATCTGAGGAAAGCATGCGCTGTTCGCAATCGTTGCGAACCAGATCATTGGCCTCTCACATTACTTTCCTTGAAGTTCTATCGTTCCTTCGTTAACGCCGTGTGATCGCATCGTTCTTCTAACCTGAACGTGGAAGAGCAACTTGCTACGTAAATTACAAAACGACTTTCGACCAAAGGATGCGTTATAGTTCACGATTTATTTGCAGTCTTGCTTTATTTACGGTCTTCATGGTTCGACTAGACTTTCTCAAAGTCGTTCGCTTGGTTTTTTCGGGTTATAGATTGAATTCGGCACCCTAGAATCTATTCCACTTGAAGGACGAATTGTTAGAATTTAAATATAGGGGCAAGACCGATACAAAGTAGATAAGTTTTAAAACGGAGCACTAAATTTCGGCTGGCCAAACCAGCCTTCTTCAGGTGTAGAATTCACTAAGAACATAAATTTTTTTAAAATGTGTGATTTTTTCCATCTTACATTTTTAGCTGACTAGCGAGCTGCACGAGAAACACGTTTTGTAGTTGTAAATTTCTCGTTTATTTCGGACGGGTTTCGTCTCTAATTGAGACTTTTTTAAGGAATGATTACAAAGAAAGAGGAACAGTATATTACATAGCACGTTGTTGTGCCTAAGTTTTGAATTTCTATGGAAGTTAAATAATAATAACTGAAAGCGGGTGTTAAGAAACTCCTAATTACAATTAGGTTATGGCGTATTGCTTTATTTTGGGGCCGGGGGCAAACGATTAGCGCTAAATGTGGAATTCGCCGCTGAAAGAAGAAATGGAAAATCGGGGTACAGATAGCAAATGGGAACTTAGGGTATTATCCACTTGTAGCGTGAATCCTCAGAATTTACCCCGTTTTCCTCGAATTTATTGAAAAAAAAAATGGAAAATCGGGTTAAGATTGGATATGGCAAGTCAGTAGGATAAATTCCTCTTGGAGGATGAATTTTTCAGAATGAGTCTCGTTTTTCTAGAATTCATCGAAAATTAAAATGAAAAATCGGGAAGTAGATTAGATGTGGCAAGTTAATAGAATATATTTCACTTGGAAGATGAGTTACTAGAATTTACCCGTTTTTCTATAATTCCTTGAAAAAATTGCAAAATCAGAGTAAAGATGGGATAAGGGAACTACGGGTATTATCCGCTTGAGTGTAGCATGAATTTTCAGAGTTTACTCCGTTTTACTAGAATTAATTCAATAAAAAAAGGAAAATCGGGGTGACGATTTGACATGACAACTGAGGTTACATTTCACTTGCGTGATGAATTGTCAGAACTTAACCCGTTTATACCCGATTTTCCTTTGTTTTAATGAGTTAGTTCTAGCTGTAGAAAAACGGGGTAAACCGAGAATTCATAATACAGTTCTCGAATGTACTCAAAACATGGAAACAGGTATGAACAGATATACTGCAGTTGTTAGTTAGATCGCTGGAATTGCACCCTTAATTCGCGTAAAAGAATTTTGGGTCGGGGGTAGGTGTCGAAAAGTTACCCTTGACTGAAGTCAATAATTTTAGCCGGTACATTGTAGAATCCCCTGCACAAAGCCTGGGGATTATTCAATTTCGCGTTAAAAATGTTTACAGGCAATGAGAAATTTTCCCAGAAGTCGCTGTATACATAGACGCATGTGCATATATTGACGGAAAACTATTGATTTATCTTTGCTTCACAAGCAAAGTGAACATCTACGTAGAGGCCCACGGGTACTATTCACTGTCAGATAAAACATTGTAACAGAATAATTGAAGTGTCGAGTGCAAAAGAAGCCCTTGGTGACTTGGGATGAACTACTATAGTCTCATTCCAACGTGCTGCCTGTTTACTTGTGGAACCAAAGGAGAACTTGATATGACATCAAGAGTCACTTAGTAGGGCTCAACAAAAGAAAACTCTATGTAAGCAAAGGACAAGTTTTAAGTTTCTCTTCCAAATATTTAATGTCTTCCGATCACATTGACTACTAATATGGCTGTCCTAAACAAGATCAATAAGCTCACTTAAATATAAAAAAACGAAACAATATGCATTAAATTTATAACACTGATAGAGTAATTTTCCAAGAGATCATGATTTCATATATTCGAAAAAAAGAGGAATTTCTGAGTGACATAGATATATAGGTTTAAAATTTTAAAAGGGATAACTTAAGTAAAAATGATTTTGTTTGTACAAGGCTTTCACGTGTACGTTTTTTAAAATAAATCATCAATATTAAAGTATAAAATAAACCTCTTGGCAATGTAAGGTAACTCACTAAACTGATTAGTGAAATCTTACATTGTCAAGAGAGGGGTGAAAATGATAGTTATTCACTATCGCTTCCTTTGCTTGATCTGCCGGTTGCTTTCCTTGCCGATGGTGGGGCACAACCGGGCCGCGTCTCGTCGGAAATTAGGCACGTATGTGGCTAAACCCTCTACACTTGTGACAGCGAACTAGAATAAAATATAAATGAGAAAAAAACAGACAAGCACAATGTTGTTGCAGTCCAAACACGAGGGAAGGGAGGTAGTCCAGGTAAATGTCCTCGAACTTTAACTTCTCTGAATAGAGACAAAAAAACAAAGTCCCAATTAAAAGTCCTGCCTCAAGTGAGCATTATCTAACCTCACCTCAGACTCCAACGATATAACCTTTTGAGTCAAGGTTAGACAAAATGGAATCTCTTGGCACCAGACACACCAACAGTCGTGTGAACATGTTATTATTCATCCTCATGAAATAACTGTACTAGAATTTTGACCGTTCCTACGATGCTTTCTTCTCCTATCTTTCACAAGATTTTGATGTTCATTTATTTGTTRAAGCAGGTTGATTAATTTGGCAGCTGTAATAGCTGATGTGGACCTGCTGTCCTAACCCACCCATCCCACCCCAGGGGAGGACATCCATCACACAGTAATCTCGTGTGTGGGAAATTAACGTCTCCTGCCCCAACCCTGCAGGAGACGGGACCTCCATTTATTCGTCCCTATCCGAGAAGACTAGAATATCTAACCATTTCTTGATGTTATAGAAAGGTAGCAAATTCTCCTCAATTATTTTAAGACCCTGAGTGTTGGTCCGGCCGGGGCTCGAACCCTCGACCTCCCGCACTACAGTCTAGAGCTCTATCCATTGAGCTAACCGGGAGGCACAGTTATCAAATTAAAACTGTGGGATTTGTCTCCTTCAACCAAAGTGTTTCCTCTAGGTATTTGAGCGAGATATATATGATCAATAATGGTAATTGAACTGAGTGAAGTGCAATTTGGGCTGAAATCATACGCGTGATTTCAAAATCGAACGAGCGCGCAGCGTGAGTTCGATCTGAAATCACAAGTATCATTTCAGACCAAAATTGCACGACACGAGGTTCAATTACCACTTTATTACATCCATTGTGAAATCGCCCAAATATAGGACTTGGTCAATTCAAATATTTACTGATGCAGTATTACATACATTTTGAAATTACCCAAATACAGGACTTGGTTAATTCAAATGATACTCTTTATCTTTCATTTTCCTGCAATTTGATTGGTCACTTTAAACAAGCCTTGAAATCTGATTGGTTGTTTGTTTTTAAGTGTAACTTCCTCATTGGCTGGAAAAAAGATATGCGATTTAGAGCAAACAATGGTGTGATTCGTGAATAAATCACACCAATGAGAGGCATTCAGATTACAGGGACCACTAGTGATTTCAAAATGGATGTAATTAAACACAACACTTCATCTACACGTTCACTACAATCGTTCACTGTGTGTAATCTTATTATTTAAGGGTCACTTGGAAAGAAGCCCCAAGCGACATTGTTAGACATGCCACTAAAATGGGACCTTTCAGAGTCAGTCAACACTTGCTTAATGCTTGGTGTTACACTTACCCCTTCTCTTTTCTCTTCCTCTGTTAATATCATCCTGGGTCCTTTCTTTTGCCGCTACACCCACTCTTCTTCTCTCCCACTCCATGCCTCCCATCTCTTAACGTCTCTCTCTTGTTCTTCCTAACCTTTTTTCCCTCTCCTGTTGCACTGGAGTACAATACAAAACTGCATCTGCCAGTTTTTCATAAACATATTTCTGGCATCTATTGAAGCTACAATCTGCTAAATAAAAAATATAGTATTTGTGAATAAATAATGGCTACATAGGATTGCTACCTTTAACATACATTCATTGATTACCAGTAACCCTTTCCATCCTAACATCAGTATGCATATTCTCCATACCGTTCTCTGTACATTTCCTGAAGCCCTGACAAAGAGAATTTGTTTAAAAATCAAGAGCTTTATAAGTTGTTGGTTATTTCCTTTATTCTCCTGACCTCAATGTTTGATTCAGGGGTGATATTGTAAGGAGAAATTAGAAGCTGGTCACTCTTAGGGGTTAAAGAGTTAAGATTTTTTCTTTCCATAACTGGTAAAACAGATCCCATTTAATGGTTCAAACACGACCTTTTTACAAGGAACTGGAATTGAGGCACTGGAAGATATTATTCCATGCTCAGTGTATTGTAGCACAAAAGTACTTTAAAAGTTTCCTGTTTCCGAATTTCATTGGTGGATAACTGTTGTATTCCAGTAATGTTATTTTCCAGCCCCATACAGCTGTTCTCAGTTTCTCAGCAGGATTTACTGTAAGTTGCATTCCAGTACTGTTAATTTCCAGCCCCACACAGCTGTTCTGAGATTACCAGCAAGGACTAAATATTCTTTTCCAATACTTAGTTGTATTTTTAGTTACATACTATCCTTCCCACATTTCCTACTAAATTAACCTATATTTAGTGGACACTTCTATATCACACACACTGGGGAAGATTCTCAGAGCGGTTACCTTTGATACTTTTAGAGCTCTATAAATTAAAGTAATAGCTTTCACAGCAATTCAAAGTGATTCAATTTTTGAAATACAGTTAACTTCTCCACTAATCACACAACACCTATGCAAAGCATGTCAATTACAAATAACAAATATGGAGAGTTGCAAATTACTTTCAATACTTTATGGTGCAAGCAATTTGTTCCTTACCATCATTTTTCTGTGTTTGCTTTCGATTTACAGACTCAAGTGGCTGTAAGGAAAAAGCAAATTCAAATAATTTTATCTTACTTCTTAAGGCAAGAAATGACAGAGTAAACAACAAGTGTAGAAACTTAGACACACTAAGGCTAAAACTCTGATTCAAAAATAAAAAACTACCCCCTACAAAAAAAATTATACTACAATCTTTGATGCCGTCCTGTTACTCTATTTTTTTTTTTCACTTTTCTGTGCTTTTAATTTGTAAACACATATGCTTCTTCTCAATGGGAAGAGTTTCCAAGAAAACCCAAATAACCAGAAAGAGTTGTCAAGAAAGTTAACCAAGTGAGCAGTGGCATCGAATTACAGCTCGGAGCAGTTAACTGACCTGAATGACTGCTGCACCTCATTTTTTTTTCCCCAGGTCTGTGTGAACTAGATTTTGAGCACAGAATGCAATACCTCAGTCACCAAACATCTGCTAGGATGACTCACTTAAAAGTGAGCATGATTATCATCTCTCGCTGAGATAGCACAATTCACTTCAATGTTTTCATTACTACACCTATGGGAAAATTAAGGAGGGACAACATTTGAGCAGCTGGGAAAGACCAAAATGACAGAGTAGCAGCCACTTATTCCCACTTGGATGGCAAAGTCTGTGGAACCTTCCTCTGGAAATTTAATAGTTTGGATGTCCCAAAGGATCCATTTTAGGCCACTATTTCCCAAGTTGGCTAAAAATTAAAGCTGCTACTAGGGAGAGTATTAACACTAAATTAATGACTACCCGCAGTGAGAGTAACAGAGAGGAAACTGTAAATATTTCTGATTACCTGTACATCTAAAGAAAATTAATATAAAACTATTCATTAGAGGGGCTTTCTTTAAGATCCACAGAATTGTGGCAGTGTCATAGATTGTACACTGACTACAAAACTATTCCCTTTGTTACAGGGTAGTTTAATAAGTACATAAAATCAAGTCCAAACAAGGGCAAGTAACAGAACCAACTAATGACAATTCTAATCACATACCCCCTATTCAGTGCTGTAAGGGCTTGTAACCAACTGTGATTTGTTGGGCAAATTGTTTTCCTTGGCAAAAAAAGCACTCAGGCCATTAGAATCACTTCCAACATTCAATTTCCACAATAATGATGCACATTGCTAGTTGTTGTCTGAATATTAAAAAGTGGCATTCAACTAAAAGAAAAAAATTGCACCATAATGGAAACCCCAGCAAGCAAAGAGCTGAGAAGTGATTGGGATTGAAACAAAGAATAATAATTTATGAATAGTTATCTTTGTGAAGAAAATACAGCACTCTAATTGATCAATCTTTGACAAAATGCAGAGCCTTACTCCATGGAGTACCTAAACTGGTGGTGTACCCCTAAAAATCATGTACTGGTCAAGTAAAATACTGACTGTATAAACACAAGGAATCGTGATTAAGTGCATATATCTTAATGTATTTTGAGCTTGCCAGCTCTCGTACTCTTCAGAAGCACAGGACTCTATTTACTAGAGCACTAATTTATATACTACTGAGGGAAATTACAAGGAGACACGAACTGTAAGGCACTGTCCTTTCAAGCATGTTTGTTCAGATGCAACAAACCCAGCACACCTTGCAGCCACATCAATGAAGACTTTCTATTTATTCATTCAGACTGTACGCAGTGGGCCCTGTGAAAAATTCAGCAAGATTTCTGTATAACCCCATACTTCATTATGCATACAATTCTTGGATATAAGAAAACAGACTGACTTTGAAGTGACTATGGATAATTATCTCTCTGCTTAAGTTTTAGTGCCATTAATTCTATTTATTTTAGTATCACTGTATTTAAATTATTTATTACTTAGCTGCACACACATATTTGTTCATTTTTACCTTTGCACTCTGCACTGGAATTTGCTGTATGTCCTCACAGGATTTTGCAAATAAATTATGTTGATGATGTAGAACAGAAGCAAAACAACAGATTACCTTTGGGACTTCGGCTTTATTTTTGTTGGTATGAGGTTATACCGAAATCTTTCCCAAAATTCTCATAAATGCCTCTGTGAAAAGTGAAAAAATGCCGTAGAGAGTGCTTTCTCGCAGTTCACTAAAAACAGCTGCGAAGGGTAAAATTATCGCCACGAGTGTAATCTTACCGTTGCTGTAGGAAATCCGTTCGACTACTGGGCTCATTACTTAAGAATAGAAGTTCGGTTGCTCAAAATATAGTGAGAGGGAACTTGGTCGATCATCAAACAGGTTTTGATGCGTTCCAAGTCGTATACTTACATGATGTTCGAAATCCAAGATAGCGGACAATTCTGATATTTTGTATGAAAAGGCTGAGCATGCGCATAGAAACAAATTCTAAACACTTTCCAATGTCTCACCTTTCCGATCACCACGAATTTTTCACCTACGACTATCCCTTGAACACTTGAAATAAAACCCGAAACTATATGGTTGTAGGCCTCCAAGATTTTGAAAGTTTTAAACTGTTTCTTTGTACCGCCTCCC